AAAACAAAAAAAAAGGGTGTCCACACGTCCTTGGAAAATTATTTAGCATCTGTGCTTTAGGTCCTTAAGATGGGACCAGAAATTGTTACCTCATTGCTGAGAGCATTCAGTGGCACACAGCAGGGGTTTAATAACTGTTGGTGTTCCCTCAACAGATTTAAAAAAAAAAAAATGTTTCTTACCCTAACCTCTTGCTGATATATTTTGTTTTTCTCTGACTTCAGGTTTCTAGAAGCAGGGTGGAACAGAGGGCAGACACCCAGCCCAGCCTCGAGTTACTACACAGTGGCAGCTGGTGAGCGAAGGGTGACCAGGGCCCTGAACTCTGTGGCCCTGGCTTTGAGGGAAGGAAAGTTGTTCTTGATTGTGGAAGAGAAGAATTTGGACAGTAGAACAAAAAAGGACGGCAGTCTCTTGGAGCAGATGCATTTGTCACAGGAAGCCCCATCAAACCCTGGGGCCTTTGTTGGACCTCTCCATCTACCCAGGTCCCGGGAGGTAGATAGCCCCAAGAAGGAGTCCAGTCAGCCCTGGGTGCCAGGCCAGGAATGGATAAAGCTAGAAAGAGACATCACAGAAGAGAAGGTGTTTGAACCAATCGAACCTGTACAGAAGACGCTCCCGTGGGTGGGTGAGGTAGCCGCCACCCTGCAGGAAGCCATGAAGAGAGATTGCCGGTTGGGGGCATGGGTGAAGAAGGTGAGGACACTAAGCTAGAGAGAGGTGAGGTCCAGGTCTTGGACTCCAGGAGCTCTTTCATGCATGCTCCTGCCTGCAGGTTAAATGAAATCTCAGATTGTTCCAGGCTGAATGACATCCAGAAAATGGAGCTGCAAGACCTTTCTCCATCTCCTGCACCACCCTGGCACCCTTCACGGAGGACTTTCTGAAATTTGTTAGAGTGGCAGCATTTTTTCCTTTTTTCTTTTTTTCTTTTCTTTTTTTTTTTTTTGAGACGGAGTTTCGCTCTTGTTACCCAGGCTGGAGTGCAATGGCGCAATCTCGGCTCACTGCAACCTCCGCCTCCTGGGTTCAGGCAATTCTCCTGCCTCAGCCTCCTGAGTAGCTGGGATTACAGGCATGCGCCACCATGCCCAGCTAATTTTTTGTATTTTTAGTAGAGACGGGGTTTCACCATGTTGACCAGGATGGTCTCGATCTCTTGACCTCGTGATCCACCCGCCTCGGCCTCCCAAAGTGCTGGGATTATAGGCTTGAGCCACGTCGCCCGGCCTTGCTTTCCCATTTATATTCTGCATATCCTCCTTCCCCACCGCCCCCCACATCTTTCTCCCCTTCTCTTCATCTTTCCTTTCCTTTCTATACTACACAGTTACTGGCCTTGTGTCTGTCTTCTCATATTTCTCTCTTCCTCCCATGCGTTTATCTTTCTCTTTGGTTTTAATTCTCTGAATTTTGAGAATGGATGTTAATCTTGCACACACACACACACACACACACACACACACACTTATATATTGATATAAACTTCTTTTATTTATTTATTTATTTATTTATTTTTTGAGACGGAGTTTCGCTCTTGTTACCCAGGCTGGAGTGCAATGGCGCGATCTCAGCTCACCGCAACCTCCGCCTCCCGGGTTCAGGCAATTCTCCTGCTCCTGAGTAGCTGGGATTACAGGCACGTGCCACCATGCCCAGCTAATTTTTTGTATTTTTAGTAGAGACGGGGTTTCACCATGTTGACCAGGATGGTCTCGATCTCTCGACCTCATGATCCACCCGCCTCGGCCTCCCAAAGTGCTGGGATTACAGGCTTGAGCCACTGCACCCGGCCGATATAAACTTCTTGAGTCTCTCCTGTTCTTCCAGAAGCCAGTCACCTTTGAGGATGTGGCAGTGAATTTCACCCAGGAAGAGTGGGACTGTCTAGATGCCAGCCAGAGGGTCCTTTACCAGGATGTTATGTCGGAAACCTTTAAGAACCTAGCATCTGTAGGTAAGAGTCTGGGCTTCCCTCAGCAAGTCCCCTGTTCCTAAAGGTCCTGGAACATCTGTTTTCCCTGGACAGGTATATCAGCTCACAATTAGTTTCACTGACCCCTGGTTCTATGCCTTCCAGGTTTGAAAGATCTGAGTCACTAAGCTCAGTGGTAAAGAGAAGAAATGATAGCCTGCATGAAGGCAAAGATAACACTTGTAACATGATGACAGTGTTCTCAAAATATGCAAATTTTTTTCATTCAGCCAACCAACCAGTATTTACTAAGTCACTCCTGAGAACCAGGTATTTTGCTAGCAGCTGGCCTTTTGAATGTCTCCTTTCTGTATCTACATGTCCCAGGTTATGGTTCTTAAATAAGGGCTACAAGAGGTAGCCTGTTGTCCCCATCAGATGTGAAGGGGCCACACCTAGGACCAACTCAACTCTTTCTCATTCCCACACATCAGCCAGAATGTTTCTGCATAAGCCAGAGCTAATCACCAAGCTTGAGCAACAAGAGAAACAGTGGAGAGTGTTTCTCCATCTCCCAAACACAGAAGGCCTTTCAGGTAAGAATTGCCAAGCAGAGACAAAGGTAAAAAGGGCCCAGGATAAACCCTGAAAGGATGGAGAGCTGATCGAGAGAAGGAATGCTCTATATGGGCTCCTAGTGTACCTCTTTCCAGCCCAGTCAGACTTGAGGAGTTGAAAGAGAGCTTAAGATCTGTCTTTCAGAACTAGTAAATATCTTCAGTTTCTAGATATTGAGAGATAACATGAAGGTTGCTTATGTCCATGACGCTGCTCTGACTTAAATGTTGTTTCCAAGAGAAAAGAGAAGCAAGGGGGATAGGCTTCATGCTGGGTTGGAGTAAAGGAGGCTTGCCCTTGGGAGTAAATAGTTTAGAGAGATATCAAGCCAGGCTGACCACACTTCCTGGTTTGCCAGGACATCCTGGTTTATATTCTCATCCCAGCTTGATTATTATTATTATTATTATTACTATTTTTGAGATGGAGTTTCGCTCTTGTTACCCAGGCTGGAGTGCAATGGCGAGATCTCAGCTCACCGCAATCTCCGCCTCCTGGGTTCAGGCAATTCTCCTGCCTCAGCCTCCCGAGTAGCTGGGATTACAGGCACTCACCACCATGCCCAGCTAATTTTTTTGTACTTTTAGTAGAGACGAGGTTTCACCATGTTGACCAGGATGGTCTCGATCTCTTGACCTCGTGATCCACCCACCTCGGCCTCCCAAAGTGCCCAGCTTGATTATTAATGAGAGCTCTTTTACCTTCAAGTGGCCCAGTGTTCATGATTAATTATGTGGGTGTCTATGGAGTGTCTTTGGGAGTTTGAGCAATATTGAAGTTGAGATAAGATAGATTTCGAGAAGTGTTGTTGTCAGTTAAAATTTACATTTCTGACACTGTTGAAATTTCATTTTCCAGTTAAATTTTTATTTGCTTTTAATTTGAAAAGCCATTTTTTTTTTCTTATTTCTAGCCTATGAGGCCCAAGGGTAAGGATGAATATGTTGGGTGGGAGAGCAAGGGCAGAGGCAAGAAGTGTCTTTCTTGGGCTGAATGGAGGAGCTGTGTTGGAGTTCTTTTTTTTTTTTTTTTTTTTTTGAGATGGAGTTTTACTCTTGCTTTCCATGCTGGAGTACAAGGGTATGATCTCAGCTCACTGCAACCTCCGCCTGCTGGGTTCAAGTGGTTCTACTGCCTCAGTCTCCCTAGTAGTTGAGATTACAGATGGATGCCACGACACCCAGGAAATTTTTGTATTTTTAGTAGAGATGGGGTTTCACCATGTTGGTCAGGCTGGTTTCGAACTCCTGACCTCAGGTGATCGGCCCACCTCTGCCCCCCAAAGTGCTGGGATTACATGCATGAGCCACCGCGCCCAGTCTGTGTTGGAGTTCTTAAAGTGAATTTTGTGTTATTCTTCCTCATTCACTACAGAAGGTAAGAAGAAAGAGCTTCGAGGACAAGATCCCAGTCTGAGAAATGAGGGGACTAGTGAGGACAAGGTCTTCCTTGCATGCAGTGGGGCCCTCTCTGCCCCAGCTGCGTCTATGGACAGGACCCGGGTGCTTCAAGCATCACGGGGTGGGCCACCTTTCTTCTGCCACACCTGTGGCAAGTGTTTCAGTAAGCGCTCCTACCTCTATAGCCACCAGTTTGTTCACAATCCCAAGCGGACTAATAGCTGCAGCCAGTGTGGGAAGCTGTTTCGGAGTCCCAAGTCCCTCAGCTATCACAGACGCATGCATCTTGGGGAGAGGCCCTTCTGTTGCACGCTCTGTGACAAGACCTACTGTGATGCTTCTGGACTAAGTCGTCACCGCCGCGTCCATCTGGGTTACCGGCCCCATTCATGTTCCGTGTGTGGCAAGAGCTTCCGCGACCAGTCTGAGCTCAAACGCCACCAGAGGATACACCAAAACCAGGAGCCAGTGGATGGAAACCAGGAGTGTACTTTGAGGACTCCAGGCACCCCTGCTGAATTCCAGGCACCCATCGCCAGAAGCCAGAGGTCCATCCAGGGGCTTGTGGATGTGGACCATGCACCAGGGGCCAGGTCCCAGGAATCCACATTTAGAACTGAGGGTCCTATGGTTCAGAACCAGCCATCTGTGCTTAAGAACCAAGCGCCTGTGACCAGCACCCAGGCACCAATCACTGGAACCCCCCGTCAGGATGACAGATCCAATTCTCATCCAGTTAAGCCCTCGAGATTCCATGTCTTCTCTTGTCCCCATTGTCCTTTGACTTTTAGCAAGAAATCCTATCTCTCCAGCCACCAGAAGACCCACCTCACAGAGCCACCCAACTACTGCTTCCATTGTGGCAAGTCTTTCAGCTCATTTTCCAAGCTGGTCAGACACCAGCAGACCCACTGGAAGCAGAAGAGCTACCGTTGCCCTATCTGCGACCTCTGCTTTAGGGAGAAAGAGGGCCTTATGGGTCACTGGAAGGGCTCTAAAGGCAAGGAACTGTGCCCGGACAGCCACCATAAATGCCGGGTGATCCTGGGCCAGTGGCTTGGCTTCTCTCATGATGCCCTCACTGTGGCTGGGGAGGAATGGAAGCATGGAGGTTATGGGTCTCCCCCAGGATCCATACCCCCGGGAGAAGAGGCCTAAGGGAGAAGGCATGCAAAGAAGACAAAACAAAGGAGGCAGTGAGCATCTTGAAACATAAATAAATGGCCTTTTTGTCTGAGATCTTTCTTTGTATTTGGTTTTTCTGAGGACTGACCTCTGGGGTAAGGTGGCTGGAGTAGAGGGAGAGAGGTGAGTGCATAAGGAAGGAAATATATAAAAGAAAAAGGGTTAGAAGTGTGCATATGGGCTGGGTGCGGTGGCTCAAGCCTGTAATCCCAGCACTTTGGGAGGCCGAGGCGGGTGGATCATGAGGTCAAGAGATCGAGACCATCCTGGTCAACATAGTGAAACCCCGTCTCTACTAAAAATACAAAAAATTAGCTGGGCATGGTGGTGCGTGCCTGTAATCCCAGCAACTCAGGAGGCTGAGGCAGGAGAATTGCCTGAACCCAGGAGGCGGAGGTTGCGGTGAGCCGAGATCGCGCCATTGCACTCCAGCCTGGGTAACGAGCGAAACTCCGTTTCAAAAAAAAAAAAAAAGAAGTGTGCATATGGAAATTCGTGTTAGTATTATTTATTTTATTTTTATCTTTTTGAGACAGAGTCTTACTCTGTTGCTCAGGCGGGAGTGCAGTGGTTTGATCTTTGCTCACTGCAATTCCTGTCTCAGCCTCCCCCGAGTAGCTGGGATTATAGGCACCTGCCACTACACTCAGCTAATTTTTTGTATTTTTAGTAGAGATGAGGTTTCACTATGTTGGCCAGGATGGTCTCAAACTCCTGACGTTGTGATTTGTCCACCTTGGCCTTCCAAAGTGCTGGGATTACAGGCGTGAGCCACTGTGCCTGGCCAAAACTGGTATTATTATTAATTAGCACCTAGCTTATTTGTTTGTGTCTGATAGACCATTCAGAAGTAGTTGTCGAATAAACAGTGGATACTCTGATAGGTATGAAGATGGGAGAAAAGGAATGGGGGCGGGGAAGATTCTGAGAGACGTGTGGAAGATATATAAGTAAAACATTCTAAAGCAGGCATGTTGCCTAGATTTCACCTCTTGCTTCCCCAAGTCCCTAGTAGGCTACCAAAACAAGGTAGACCTCTGGCTATTCTGTAGGTTTCTCCCAATCTCCAGGTTTGGGTTGGGGCTACCCATGTCCGCACTCTGGAGCTCACTCAGCTCTCTTTAACGTTCTGATCTCTTCCTCTTCCTTCCCTTCACATGCATCTCAGTTCTGCGCAATCAGGGCTGGAGTCTTGGAGGAAACAACCACCATCTGCAAAGTTATCATACTGTAATTTTCAGTAAGGAGGTTCCTGGCCTCCAGTTTGTGACAAAGACCATCCTATCTGTGTTGCTTTCCAGCAAAGATGTCCTCTGATGGAGAGAGGAGCACCTGCCTGTCCTTAGCCAGAGAGGACTTCCAGGGGGAGGACTGGAGAGAGAAATGGAAAGATTGGTAATAAAAATGGGAAAAAGAAGGAAGAGAAAAGGTAGATGACAGAAGCGAAATCAATTCTACTTGGAATCCAGAGTGTTCCGGAAGTGCAAATTGGAATGTCCCCAGAGCAAAGATGCTAGTGAGTGTGCAACTTGAAGGATGAGACATCCCCAAGGACCAATCCCTGGGCAACCAGGCTCTCCTCCACCCCTGCCAAGATGCGACATCATTCAGAAGGGATTTCCTAGAAGAAAAAGAAAATAACTTGAAAAATCGATGTCAGTAGTTTGTATCATAAAACCATTGAACTAGGGAGAAGAAAAGCCTTTGGGGTTATTTTGTCTCCATGCCTGCCTCAATGGTTGGTCTTAGAGGTGAGGCACTGGGCAGTTGCTGTGAAATGGGCAATGAGAACAGCTAGGGTGGGATTCCTGCTTAGGAACAGTGAAGGAGGAGATCAGGCAGCAGTGCCTCCAGCTTCTCTGTCAGCTGTAAATGTGTCTAACAACTGGCCTCTTTCCCTTCTACCTCCCAGGAGGAGTTCTCCCTCCCTCGGGGCTCTCCAGCTCCTCCTTTCCTCTGGGACTGATTCCTCAACAGTCCCCCTTTTCCTCTTGTTGCTTCTGTCTCTCTTTCCTGGCTTTTTATTTTCTGCTTATAAGAGAGAGAAGAGAACTTACTTAGCTCTTCAAGGAATTGCCCTGAAAACAAAGAGAAACAAATAACGTGATCAATGAAAAATGACTAGCACCTTCCCCACATCCTCCCTGTGGACATTTGGAGTGACCCACACCCCTTTCCACTGGGGGACCCCACAGATTTAGTAAGCAGTTCTCTTCACAGTTTTTCAGAAGAACCTGGGGTTGGGCACAGGGACAGACGAGTAAGGAAATAGCTTCCCTAATCTTGAGCCCTGATTCCATTCTCTGTTTCCCATTCAGAGCTGACTTTGTCCCCCACTATTCAGTGGTCTTGCCTGCTGCCCAGCCACTGCACCTGCTAGTCTTCGATGTAGCCAGTTGTAACAGATGATCAAGGCAACCAGGGGTCCAAGAACCGGCACAATTACAAACAGGGTTATCTTCCAGCAGGGCACTCTCAGAAAGTGGGGATCTGAATTATTCACCAGAACAAACAGGGTTAACATATGTTACCCCTCATGCCCCACCCACCTTCCTTTTTTGGTTCCTTTTTTTTTTTTTTTTTTTTTTTTTTTTTTTGAGACGGAGTTTCACTCTTGTTACCCAGGCTGGAGTGCAATGGCACGATCTCGACTCACTGCAACCTCCGCCTCCTGGGTTCAGGCAATTCTCCTGCCTCAGCCTCCTGAGTAGCTGGGATTACAGGCACGCGCCACCATGCCCAGCTAATTTTTTGTATTTTTAGTAGAGACGGGGTTTCACCATGTCGACCAGGATGGTCTCGAACTCTCGACCTCGTGATCCACCCGCCTCGGCCTCCCAAAGTGCTGGGCCAAAGTGCTTGAGGCACCGCGCCCGGCCCCCTTTTTTTTTTAATTTTATTATTATTTATTTTAAAGATGGGGTTTCACCATGTTGGTCAGGCTGGTCTTGAACTCCTGACCTCAGGTGATCCGCCCGCCTTGGCCTCCAAAGTGCTTGGATTACAGGTGTGAGCCACCAGGCCCGGCCTCTTTTTTGGTTCCTTAACCTGGGGTCCTAGAACACCAAAAGTCTCTGGGGACAGAATTCAGAGAGTCCATGAAGTTGGATGAGAAAAGTACTGCTTCCTTATTTTCATTAGCTAGATTTAACATTTTCTTTCATTAAAAATGTAACAACTGGCGGCCGGGCGCGGTGGCTCAAGACTGTAATCCCAGCACTTTGGGAGGCCGAGGCGGGTGGATCACAAGGTCGAGAGATCGAGACCATCCTGGTCAACATGGTGAAACCCCGTCTCTACTAAAAATACAAAAAATTAGCTGGGCATGGTGGTGCGTGCCTGTAATCCCAGCTACTCAGGAGGCTGGGGCAGGAGAATTGCTTGAACCCAGGAGGCGGAGGTTGCGGTGAGCCGAGAGCGCGCCATTGCACTCCAGCCTGGGTAACAAGAGCGAAACTCCGTCTCAAAAAAAAAAAAAAAAATGTAACAACTGGCCAGGTGCGGTGGCTCACACCTGTAATCCCAGCACTTTGGGACGCCAAGGTGGGTGGATCACAAGGTCAGGAATTCAAGCAGCCTGGCCAAGTTGGCAAAACCCCATCTCTAGTAAAAATATGAAAAAATTAGCCGGGCATAGTGGTGGGCACCTGTAAACTCAGCTACTCAGGAGGCTGAGGCAGATAATTGCTTGAACCTGGAAGGCAGAGGTTGCAGTGAGCTGAGATCATGCCATTGCACTCCAGCCTGGGTGACAAGAGTGAGACTCCATCTCAAAAAAAAAAAAAAAGTAACAACTAATCACACTATCAACAGTACCTGTGACTTAATTACCAACTGAAGCCATAGATGTGTTTATTCCCATCAGAGTTGTTGCAGAAATCTCAAAATATTGTTTATGTTTATCAGTATTTTGAAATTACAGGTTATTAGGCTGGGCACAGTGGCTCACACCTGTAATCCCAGCACTTTGGGAGGTCAAAGTGGGTGGATCACCTGAGGTCAGGGGTTCGAGACCAGCCTGGCCAACATGCTAAAACCCCATCTCTTGCCGGGCACGGTGGCTTAAGCCTGTAATCCCAGCACTTTGGGAGGCCGAGGCGGGTGGATCACGAGGTCGAGAGTTCGAGACCATCCTGGTCGACATGGTGAAACCCCGTCTCTACTAAAAATACAAAAAATTAGCTGGGCATGGTGGCACGTGCCTGTAATCCCAGCTACTCAGGAGGCTGAGGCAGGAGAATTGCCTGAACCCAGGAGGCGGAGGTTGCCGTGAGCCGAGAGCGCGCCATTGCACTCCAGCCTGGGTAACAAGAGCGAAACTCCGTCTCAAAAAAAAAAAAAAAAAAAAAAAAAAACACCATCTCTACTAAAATTACAAAAATTAGCTGGGCGTGGTGGCATACGCCTGTAGTTCCAGCTACTTGGGAGGCTGAGGCAGGAGAATCGCTGAAATCTGGGAGGCAGAGATTTGCTGTGAACTGAGATCATGCCATTTGCACTCCGGCCTGGGCAACAAGAGCAAAACGCTTCCTCAAAAAAAAAAAAAAAAAAAAGAAAGAAAGAAAGAAAAAAGAAAAAAAATTATGTTACTATGTTACAAATGTTTTTTTTTGAAGCCGGGCGCGGTGGCTCAAGCCTGTAATCCCAGCACTTTGGGAGGCCGAGGCGGGTGGATCACGAGGTCAAGAGATCGAGACCATCCTGGTCAACATGGTGAAACCCCGTCTCTACTAAAAATACTAAAAATTAGCTGGGCATGGTGGCGCATGCCTGTAATCCCAGATACTCAGGAGGCTGAGGCAGGAGAATTGCCTGAACCCAGGAGGCGGAGGTTGCGGTGAGCCGAGAGCGCGCCATTGCACTCCAGCCTGGGCAACAAGAGCGAAACTCCATCTCAAAAAAAAAAAAAAAAAAAAAAAGAGATCGAGACCATCCTGGTCAACATGGTGAAACCCCGTCTCTACTAAAAATACAAAAAAAAATTAGCTGGGCATGGTGGCACATGCCTGTAATCCCAGCTACTCGGGAGGCTGAGGCAGGAGAATTGCCTGAACCCAGGAGGCGGAGGTTGCAGTGAGCAGAGATCGCACCATTGCACTCCAGCTTGGGTAACAAGAGCGAAACTCCGTCTCAAAAAAAAAAAAAAAAAAAAAAAGTACAGGTGATACAGTTGTGTCTTATTTTTCTGTTTATGTTTCACCTCCCCAAGCAGACATCGGTTTATGGGTAAACGATCTATTTACCTCTGTTTTGTAATTCCTGAAATGAGAAATAATGGGCATAAGGAGTTAGCAGAATAAGAAAACTTTTTTTTTTTTTTTTTTTTTTTTTTTTTGAGACGGGGTTTCACTCTTGTTACCCAGGCTGGAGTACAATGGCGTGATCTCGGCTCACCGCAACCTCCGCCTCCTGGGTTCAAGCAATTCTCCTGCCTCAGCTCTCTAGTAGCTGGGACTACAGGCGTGCGCCACCATGCCCAGCTAATTTTTGTATTTTTAGTAGAGACGGGGTTTCACCATGTTGACCAGGATGGTCTCGATCTCTTGACCTTGTGCTCCACCCACCTCGGCCTCCCAAAGTGCTGGGATTACAGGCGTGAGCCACCGCGCCCGGCCTAAGAAAACATTTTTGTAAAGCAGTTAGGATAATGCCTGGGACATAAAAACAGTACATGAGTACTTTTATTATGATTTTACCAATCCTAAATGCAAATGGATTCTTATTTAAAGAAAGAAAAGAGAGAAAGGGACCCAACCAAGATGCAGGTGTCCTTGTTCCCCCAGGTGACTGGAACTGGAATGAAATACCAAGTTGACCTGGGAGGGCCTGGATATGCCAGAACTTACCAAAAGTCCGGTGGAGATTCTCTGAAAGAGAAACAAATGGAAATGGATTTAGTAGGGTATTCAAAAAGGATCCTTTATCCTGAGTCTTTGTTATTTAATTACTTAAAACTTGTTCTAGGCATGACACATCCACCATAAAGGGAAGCTGAGGGAAGAACAGGGTCTTGAGAGGCAGAGACAGTCTGAGAACATGACCATTTCTGTTATGCCAAGAAAACAAAACACAAGAATTGGGAAAAAGGATGAATGGAACTCACCTATCTCTGCTCGAAGTTTTCCTAAAATAGAAAAAGGCAACACTTTAGTTCCTGCCTGCTTTGGCTCTTGGTGGGGAACCTCCCACCCCCAGCGCCTGGGACCCTCGTGCAGGCTATTTTTCTGCAGCGCGAAAGCAACCTTAAAGAGTGTGAGAAGAGCACTGGATCTGAAGCCAAGGGTTGCAGCTATTCCTCTAGCTAGAGTCTAGATTCAAATAGGGGAATAAAGAATGTGAGCAATTTCCAAAAGCAGCACAAGGATCTACTACCTCCCAGCTGCTCTTCCTTTTCTTGGATGCTTTAGTTCACAGTGCTGCTCCAGTCCACTGGGTTGCTACTTTGTTGATCTAAAGCCACTTCCCATCTGAATGAGGAAGGAGGATCTGAGCACTTAGTGAGTAGCTAGCTACTTTGTGACTGGATTTGTAGTAGGCACTTTACATGACTTTAATCCTTTTTACAATTTAGGAGGGAGGATGTGTTCTCTGTTTGGCAGACAAAGCAACTGAGGCTTGGAGAATCTAAGAATTTTGCCATAGTGTGGTATCCGGGATGGAATTCAAACCCAGGCAGCCTAACTCTAACATTCAGATTCTTTCTGCTCAGCCATGTAGGGCTGCAGGCCTTTTTCATGTGGAAGAAATAGACAAGCAAGCATCTGGGATGAATTCAAGGAGAGAGAAAAGGCTCCGTTGTTGATCTCGCCAATACCCCCCCAGAAACATTCCCCAAACCCTCCTTGCTACTTTCTCCTCTCCTCTTAGTAACAAATGGGAGATGGTGTGAGGGGAGGAGTGAGGACTCTTTCTGCTTTGGCACTGGGGAGACACTTGGTAGGGAGAGAAGGTTCAGACTGAAAGCTCTAGGCACAAAAGAGGTACTTCATCAACAGCTGAACCTGAATCCTCAGTGCTGAATGGAGAAGGAGGAAACAATCTTCAACGACTACTGTGGGGTAGGGACTTTCACTTCAGCATCTTTATTTAACATTCCTTTTTTTCTTTTTTTCTTTTTTTTTTTTTTTTGAGACGGAGTCTCGCTCTGTCGCCCAGGCTGGAGTCTAGTGGCTTGATCTCGGCTCACTGCAACCTCCGCCTCCTGAGTTCAAGCAGTTCTCCTCTCTCAGCCTCCCAAGCAGCTGACACTACAGGTGCCCACCACCATGCTAGGCTAATTTTTGTATTTTTAGTTGAGATGGAGTTTCATCATATTGGCCAGGCTGGTCTCGAACTGCTGACCTTGTGATCCACCCACCTAGGCCTCCCAAAGTGCTGGGATTACAGGCGTGAGCCACCGTGCCTAGCCTATTTAACACTCCTAATAGCCTAGACCTGTCTGACTTTGAAGCTCAAACTTTCCCAAGTTGCATGGAGCTGCCAGGTATGATACAAAGGCCTCAGCTCTACCACTTACTTATAAGCTGTATCAGTTTGAGTAAGTCACTGAACTAATCCTGGCCTCTGTTGCATTCTTTGTAAAATGGGGTTGCTATATGCCACATTTAGCTCATGAAATGCTAGGTTCTTTTATTCATATGAAAACAATGTTTTCATATGAATAAAAGAACCTAGCATTTCATCATGGAATAAAACGCTTTTTTGTGTGTGTGTGACGGAGTATCTCTCTTGTTACCCAGGCTGGAGTGCAATGGCGCGATCTTGGCTCACCGCAACCTCCGTCTCCTGGGTTCAAGCAATTCTCCTGCCTCAGCCTCCTGAGTAGCTGGGATTACAGGCATGCGCCACCATGCCCAACTAATTTTTTGTATTTTTAGTAGAGACGGGGTTTTACCATGTTGACCAGGATGGTCTCGATCTCTTGACCTCGTGATCCACCCACCTCGGCCTCCCAAAGTGCTGGGATTACAGGCGTGAGCCACCGCGCCCGGCCTGTAAAACACTTTTTCATCATGGAGTTCTTTTTTTTTTATCACTCAATAATGAGAAGACTTTCTGAACCCAGCAGTCACTCACAAATACATGTTAAGTGGTGTCAATCCAAGAAGTCAGCCTTATGTGAAGGAAGGATCCTGACCCACCCACCCTCTGCCCTGTACCTCTCAGTCTGTGCTGCAGGCAGAGGAAGAGGAGACCCACGCTGATCTGCAGGAGGAGCACAGGCACCACTGCGAGGAGAACCAGCACTCCAGAGCTGACCCAGTAGAAGGGATCTGAAAGGCAAGACCGACATTGCCAAGAGCTGAATCCTCAACACCCAGCACGGTGCCTGGGGCCCAATAAATCAGGTCGAATAAAGAAATGAATATCATCAGGATTCAAAGAAGGTGACACAGAATTGACTTCTGAGCTTAGCCTTGAAGGAAAAGTAGGTTTGTTTCTAGGAAATGCTAGTGGTTTAGAATGACAAGTGGTTTAAAGTCAAGATTGTGTATTGGGTCAGGCTGTGGTTGGGAGGTGTTAAGGAGCAGGTAAGGGACTTAGATCTGATCCTCAAGGCCATGGGGGTGCACGGAAGGACTGCAAGCTGAGAAGTGACCACATCAGATAGTGCTGGAAAAGACAGGGAAATCTGTTAAGAGACTGTGATAGGGGCCAGGTGCAGTGGCTCACACCTGTAATCCCAGCCCTTTGGAAGGCTGAGGTGGGTAGATCTCTAATAAACAAATAAAAAATTAGCCTAGCATGGTGGTACACACCTGTAATCTCAACTACTAGGAGGCTGAGGCAGGAGAATCACTTGAACCTGGGAGGCGGAGGTTGCAGTGAGTGAGCCGAGATCACACCACCGCAATCCAGCCTGGGTGACCGAGTAAGACTTTGTCTCAAAAAAAAAAAAAAAAAGAGAGACTGTGATAACAAAGTAAAAAACAACATGAGATTTTGCTCGTGCGGAAGCGCCGCGGTGGGGTGGGTGCTCGGGCGGGAGCCCCGCGGGCTGTGCGGCCGCCGCCATGCGGTCCTCCCCGGTGCGGGTGGCGGTGGTGTGTTCGAGCAACCAGCAAACGGGGATTCAGTGTCCGATCCTTTGGAATAGGGACTCACGTGAAGCTTCCAGGACCAGCTCCGGACAAGCCCAATGTTTTATGATTTCAAAACCACATATGACCGGATGTACAATGATCTTAGGAAAGACAAAGAACTCTATACACAAAACGGCATTTTGCATATGCTGGGCGGAAATAAGAGAATTAAGCCCCGGCCGGAAAGGTTCCAGAACTGCAAAGACCTGTTTGATCTGATCCTCACTTGTGAAGAGAGGGTGGAAGATCTGAATTCCAGAGAACAGGAGACCTGCCAGCCGGGGCACGGGGATGAGGAGGCCACCCTGGGGGCATTTCTCATCTCTGAGCTCTGCCGGTGTATCCAGCACACGGAGGACACGGAGAACGAGATTGACCAGCTGCTGCCGGAGTTCGAGAAGAGCGGACGCACCTTCCTGTACACCGTCTGCTTCTACTGAGCCTGGCGCCCTCCTGGCCGCCCTCTCCAGCTTCCTTTTGTTCATACTTTTCCTTCCTGACGTTATTTTTACTTACAGGTGTTCTGCTGGTGACGGGAGCATTACCCAAATAAACTGTGCATATGACACGGGAGGAGATGTCTGAACGCCACATTAAAGCAATCAAGTTTTTTCCTTCCCACTTTTACTTAGGATTGGGATATTGATTACAGTTTTTTTCTTTTTCTTTTTTTTTTTTTTTTTTTTTTTGAGACAGAGTTTCGCTCTTGTTGCCCAGGCTAGAGTGCAATGGCGCGCTCTCGGCTCACCGCAACGTCCGCCTCCTGGGTTCAGGCAATACTCCTGCCTCAGCCTCCTGAGTAGCTGGGATTACAGGCATGCGCCACCATGCCCAGCTAATTTTTTGTATTTTTAGTAGAGACAGGGTTTCACCATGTTGACCAGGATGGTCTCGATCTCTTGACCTCGTGATCCACCCGCCTCGGCCTCCCAAAGTGCTGGGATTACAGGCTTGAGCCACCTCGCCCGGCCCAGTTTTTTTCTTTAAACGAAAAGGAAAGACAGCGGTTTGTGTTCACGTCCCCGCCGTCACTGTGTCCCTGTGCGCCCCCTTCCTCCCCCCTTCCCACCCATTGAGGCGGTGTTCGAATGACCTGGAATTGTCCAGTAAATAGATGCTGCTGTAAAAAAAAAAAAAATTGCAACGTGAGCCTGAACTAAGACAGTGGTAACAGTATAGGAAGTCAGGGGATTCAAAGCTTAAATAGGGGATAAAAAATAAATTTTTATTTTCAATAACCTTTAAACTGAAATTTAGTGTTTATTTTAATTATGTCTGTAGGCAATACACCACAATAATATGAAGAGAACCTTTGTTTTGTCGTCAATAAAAATCACAAATACTTTTTTTTTCTTTCTTCTTTTTCTCTCTCTCTCTCTTTTTTTTTTTTTGACGGAGTTTCGCTCTTGTTACCCAGGCTGGAGTGCAATGGCGCGATCTCGGCTCACCGCAACCTCCGCCTCCTGGGTTCAGGCAATTCTCCTGCCTCAGCCTCCTGAGTAGCTGGGATTATAGGCACGCGCCACCACGCCCAGCTAATTTTTTGTATTTTTAGTAGAGACGGGGTTTCACCATGTTGACCAGGTTGGTCTCGATCTCTCGACCTCGTGATCCACCCGCCTCGGCCTCCCAAAGTGCTGGGATTACAGGCTTTTTTTTTTTTTTTTTTTCAGTTAGAGTTGCTCTGTCACCCAGGCTGGAGTACAGTGGCATGATCTTGGCAATTCTCCTGTCTCAGCCTCCTGAGTAGCTGGGATTACACATTCATGCCACTACGGCAAGCTGATTTTTGTATTTTTACTAGAGACAGGGTTTCACCACATTGGCCAGGCTGGTCTCGAACTCCTGACTTCATGATCCTTCTGCCTCGGCCTTCCAAAGTGCTGGGATTACAGGCATGAGCCACCAGGCCCAGCATTCTATGACATTTCTAACGTAATATGAAAATATTTGTGATTTTTGGCTGGATGAGGTGGCTCACGCCTGTAACCCCAGCACTTTTGGAGGCCGTGGCAGGCGGATCACCTGAGGTCAGGAGTTTGAGACCATCCTGACCAACATGGCAAAATCCTGTCTCTACTAAAAATACAAAAATTAGCCGGGCTGTGATGGCAGGTGCCTATAATCCCAGCTATTCAGGAGGCTGAGGCAAGAGAATTGCTTGAACCCGGGAGGCGGAGGTTGCAGTTAGCCCAGATTGTGCCATTGCACTTTACCCTGGGCGAGAGAGTAAGATTCCATCTAAAGCAAACAAACAAACGACAAAATGAAAAGTAACAGAAATCTCAAACTATCACTTATTTTTGAAATTACACTAATCACTAGGGCCACCCTAGCTCTTGTTAATTTGATATTTTGATACCTGTATTTTGGAATAAGTGTTTTATCTTGTGTATTTAAAATATTCTTCTGGTTAGGCATGGTGGTTCACCCCTGTAATCCCACCACCTTGGAAGGCCAAGGCAAGAAGACTGCGTGAGCCCAGGATTTCTTGAGACTAGCTTGGGCAACATAGTGAGACCCTTCCTCTACAAAAGAAATTTAAAAAATAGCTGGGCATGGTGGCACAAGCCTGTGGTCTCAGCTATTCAAGAGCTGAGTCAGGAGGATCACTTGAACCTGGGAGGTGGAGGCTGCAATGAGCCATGATCATGCCACTGCACCCCATCCTGGGTGACAGAATGACACCCTGTCTCGAAAAAAAATAAGTCAAGGACGGTGGCTCACACCTATAATTCCAGACTTTGGGAGGCTGAGGTGGCCAGATTACCTGAGGTCAAGAGTTTGAACCCAACTTGACCAACATGGAGAAACCCCATCTCCATTAAATATATATATATATATACATACATATATATATGAGATGGGGTCTATCAGCTTCATCAGCATGCCTAAAGGTGCATGACACACAAAAAATGGTTAAGAGCCCCCTTCTAGAGCTTTTAAGGAAGGTAGTTTATAGTCAGGCATTGTGGCTCACGTCTGTAATCCCAGCACTTTGGGAGGCCGAGGCAGGTGGGTCACCTGAGGTCAGGAGTTTGACCAACTGCACCCCATCCAACACTGCACCCTGGCCAACATTGTGAAACCCTGTCTCTACTAATAATACAAAAATTAGCCAGGTGTGGTGGTGTACACCTGTAATCTCAGCTACTCAGGAGGCTGAGCAGAACTGCTTGAACCTCTGGGGTGGAGGTTACAGTGAACCGAGGTCGCACCATTGCACACCAGCCTGGGCGACAAGAGCGAAACTCCGTCTCCAAAAGAAAAAAGGGTCGGGTGGGGGGGTCTCAGCCGGGTGTGGTAGCTCATGCCTGTAATCCCAGCACTTTAGGAGGCTGAGGCAGGAGGATTACCTGAAGTCGGCAGTTCAAGACCAACCTGACTAATATGGAGAAACCCTGCCTCTACCAAAAATAGAAAAATAGCTGGGTGTGGTGGCACATGTCTGTAATCCCAGCTACTCTGGAGGCTGAAGCAGGAGAATTGCTTAAACTTGGAAGGTGGAGGTTGGTGAGCCGAGATCGTATCATTGCACTTCAGCCTGAGCAACAAGAGGGAAACACCGCCTCAAAAAAAAAAAATAAATAAATAAAATGGAAAAAAAAGATAGTTTACACAACAGGATTCAGTAAGTGACCAGATGTGCAGATATGGAGTAGATGTGGAGCAGGTGTGGGGTAGCTATGGAGTAGGTTGGGCAATGAGGGAGGGAGGACCTTCACTTCTGTGGCTCCCATCTATTTCCCATGCTAGGTCTGCTCCACAGCATTCAAAAGCCCTTCTCTAAACTCCATGTGCCATGCTGCAGCTGAAACTATTTTCATCTTGATCTCTGTTTTAAGGGAGCTAAGTAAGGATATCGCTATCCAAGATAGGGATACATCACAGCCAGTAACGTTAAACTGGTCCAGGGCAGTTGCTTAGGTATAATTACAGTCCTCAAGCCATAGACCAAGGCTCCTGTCTATTATCCTGTTCCCTAGAGGAACATGCAGCAAACTTTACTTTCAAGATCTTAATGGGGGCCAGGCGTGGTGGCTCACGCCTGTAATCCCAGCCCTTTGGGAGGCCGAGGTGGGTGGATCACGAGGTCAAGAGATCGAGACCATCTGGTCAACATGGTGAAACCCTGCCTCTACTAAAAATACAAAAAAAATTAGCTGGGCATGGTGGTGCATGCCTGTAAT